TCTTCCAATTGATCACGTTCCAGATATTCTCCACGTAAGCAGCTTTGCCGTTGAGATACTAGCAGCATGTTAGCCAATAGACAAAAAGAGCATGGATCAAACGCGGTCACCGATGAAGCATTTCATGGCACATACCTGGAGATAGTACGCGTGCTCCCACATATCAACGCCAAAGACAGGAATCTCTCCCTTGCCAACAACCGGATCCTGATCCTTAGTCGTCATAATTACAAGTCTATCCTCCTTGCCGCCTTCAACCTTGACAAGCCATCCCCATCCGCTCCCCTGAATCCCTAGCAATGCCGTCTTGAACGCCTCACGGAATTTCGTCTCGTCGCCCCAAGTTGCCTTGATCTTCTCTACTAGCTTCGGAGCAGAGGATGGTTTGGCATCAGAGGAATTAGCGGGGCACAGATTCTGCCAAAACAACGAGTGGTTGATGTGGCCGCCGGCATTGAACTTGATGCCGGGTTGCAGCGAGACTTGAGTAGGGATGTCGGCAGTTTGGATGGCCTCTTGCTGGGATTTTAAGGCGGCGTTCAGGTTTGTTATGTAGGTTTGGTGGTGTTTACTGTGATGCAGCTCCATGATTTGGGCCGAGATGTGCGGCTCCAAGGCCTGGGCCACCAGTTAGTAGAGAGAAAATATGTGAGACGCCAGTGCGGGGCAGAGTATCGCCGAGGCGAAGCGAGTAGAGAGACCAACATTGTAAGCGTATGGAAGAGGTGGTAGACTGTAGGTAGCGCCCTGCATCTCGCCGTATTGAACCTGCTGTGGAAGTTGATCTGGAGAATTTGGAGAGATGAAGTTGCTGAGGAGTGAGAGGATAGAAACAGAAGAGTTCCAAGCCTTCATGGTTGGATTTGGTAATCGCTATTTCTTGAGATTGGAAGAGCGATGGAGACTAGCCAACAAGGTACTGAGGAGGTGGAGCTTTTGGCCCAAAACGGAAATGCAGCAACACAATTGCCTCAATCTACCTCCAATCCACTCGAGAGCCAAGAATCATGTGATTGAGATCAGACACACAGAAGTTGCGGTATAAAAGTTATAGCAGTAAGAATGAAGCACGAGAAAATATGTAAATTGTAAAGTATTACTGTCTTCTATCAGCTTTCCGGTTCCCTGGGATGAAAGTTGACAATGCGCGAGGACGAGCTCTGAGAAATGGCTAATTCACGTTGCTCTGGATCCCAAATGAGAAGCGTGCTAATTGTTGCAGAGGACGAAAGAGTGCAAGAAAGTAAGAAGTACGAGAGATGAAACTGCTTCAATGAAGTCTGAATTGAGGTCTGAGGGAACTCGGTGTGAAATGGTAGACGTGGAGTTCCGGAGGTGAACAGAGACGAGGCATTCAGATTTGTCACGTGATTTGACCATTCTGAGCTTAGTTCGAAATGGGTTTTCCCACCAGTCACTCCGGTCAACCTCCTATCTGCAAGCCAACACATGTTCCTGATGTTCACTGCAGGCCTCTCCCTCCTACAAGCTTTGCCCTGAACGTGGGCCGTCTCCAACATCCAGACTTTTACCTGCACTTATCCCGTCAACCCGGTGAAGCCGCTCTCATCAACCGATTGTCATCCAAACATTGCCTGTGGGGATTTAGGCTAAATGCAAAGATCTGCGTCTAGGGGCCCCCGCCATCACCCACGCGGGGCAAGGAATCCACTTTTTTTCCTTTTTACCCCGGAAATCGCCCCCATCTAACCACCAATTGCTATTCAAGCTTGGCTTTCATTTGCGTTGATGAACATTATTGCTGGGCCCAACTCGCTATGTATTATTCTAGAAAACTATGCATGCATCTACAGAATGTTACATCTCAACAAGGACCAAAGCATTCCTTCTTTCTATCATGTGCTTCGACTCCCAATCTGGCTTTGATACCCGTCGTGTCTCCACTTCTTTGCTTACGCACTTTCCCTCGCGTAGTTCGGCCACAAATGTTCCGATTTGTGTTTACGACGTCGAATCAAGAACTCAAGTTAAGCAACAATAGCGTGCGCCCCCAGCCGTTTTGGCGGTAGCCCATTTGGAAGCCCCAGATCAACGGTCGGATCGAATTAACCGCCGTTTTACCCGGGAGGCGAAGACATGGGGAGCTTTACCCATGCTTTGTGTTATTGCCGTATGACCGCACCCGATGGCCAGTCCGGCAATCTAGCTACGACATGCTCCCCTGCCCATGCTACGGCTATAGAAACGGCCTGATCTTCCTTCAAACCTGGTGCAGAGTTCACTGCTTTCCCAGTTCCCAAACTTCCTACACGCATCGAACTTCGCACTAATCATGGCTCCAGTCGGTGGGACAGCTACAGAGTTCGAGGCTGCGGCATTGGCACGCCGTCAAGCTCTCTCAGGTAGCTCTGGTCCATTGGCTCTGCTTAGAAATCTACGAGTGTTTGGCATTGCCTGCTTTGCTTGTCTTGGAGGTTTGCTTTATGGCTACAATCAGGGGGTTTTCAGCGGTGTTCTCACTATGACTGCGTTCAAAAAGCGTGAGTTGTAGTTCTTCTAACTCCACTTCTCAAAACTAACTCGTGCAGACATGGGAAGCTACATTGAGGACGAGGCAACTTTAACCTGGAACGATTCTAAGCAGGGATGGTTGGTGTCTATTCTCGAATTGGGAGCATGGTTTGGGACTATGTACTCTGGTTTCCTCGCTGAGATTCTATCTCGAAAATACGCCATTTTAGTCAACGTCGCTATCTTCATTATTGGCGTTGTCATTCAAACAACTGCAATCACCTCATCCGGGCACAGCTCTATCTTAGGAGGTAGATTTATCACTGGTACGTTAACTTCATATCTGCAAAATTCGAAAACACGGGCTTACCACCGCGATAGGTATGGGTGTTGGTTCTCTATCAATGATTGTGCCAATGTACAACGCCGAGATTGCGCCACCTGAAGTCCGCGGTGCTCTCGTGGGATTGCAACAGCTGTCTATCACACTAGGAATCATGATCAGTTTCTGGATTGACTATGGCACGGTGAGCTCAACACTTAAATACTTCTAAGAGCCATGGCACTGACGGGAGCAGAACTTTATTGGCGGAACAGGTAATGGGCAGCACAATGGTGCATGGCTCTTACCTTTGTGCTTACAGCTTGTACCTGCGATTTTGCTCGGATCAGGAATGCTATTCATGCCATTCTCTCCACGTTGGCTTGTTCATCATGGACGCGAACCTGAGGCTCGGAGGGTTCTTGCTAGGCTTAGACAATTGCCTCAAGATCACGAATTAATTGAGCTTGAATTTGCAGAAATCAAGGCCCAATCATTGTTTGAGAAACGGTCACTCCAAGAAAACTTCCCGCATTTGCAAGAGCTAACGGCTTGGAATGTTCTTAAGCTGTAAGTATTAGAACATCCAACATTCCAAGAATTAACGAGTAGAACGCGCCTAATAAAGCTGCACAGTCAATTCGTTGCTATCGGTTCCCTCTTCAAGTCCAGGCCAATGTTCCGGCGCGTTATCGTAGCTACAGTAACCATGTTCTTCCAGCAATGGACTGGTATCAACGCCATTCTCTATTATGCCCCGAAGATTTTCAATGGATTGGGTCTCTCTTCCAATGCCGTTTCCCTCTTGGCTACTGGTGTGGTCGGAATTGCTATGTTCATCGTAAGGCTAGAAACTCAACCCGAAAGATATTTCGCTAATTTATATGAAAGGCTACAATACCGGCTGTCATGTATGTTGATAAATGGGGCCGTAAACCAGTTCTTATCTGGGGCGCTATTGGCATGGGTACATGCCACATAATCATTGTATGAAGTACCATTTTTTACGCCATCCTTGACTGATTTAGATGGTCTTCATACTCACTGGCTAACGTTCTCAAGGCTGTCATCACCGCCAAGAACCAATATCAATGGCCTACCCACCAATCTGCAGGTTGGGCTGCGGTTGTGATGGTCTGGCTTTTTGTCATTCATTTCGGATATTCATGGGGGCCTTGTGCTTGGATCGTCATCTCGGAGATCTGGCCGTTATCAAATCGACCATACGGCATTGCCCTCGGCGCGTCGAGTAATTGGTACGCAGTAACTCATTAGAGCTAACCTCCTTTTCGATACCCTCCAATTCCTGGCTTAGCTAAACTTTACTTCTCTTATTAGGATGAACAATTTTATCGTCGGTCAAGTGACCCCAGACATGCTATCCGGAATGACATACGGCACCTACATCTTTTTCGGCCTGCTTACCTTCGGCGGCGCAATATTCGTTTGGCTCTTCGTCCCTGAAACCAAAGGCCTCTCACTAGAAGAAATGGACATCTTGTTCGGGAGCATCGGTATGGCAGAGAAAGAGCGCGAGAGATGGAGAGAAGTCCATCGGGAAGTGGGTCTGGATCAGCTGGTTGCAAGAGCGGGTCTTGATGTAGGAGGCGATAAAGGCGTGAGGGAAGATATGAAAGAGAATAAAGAGATAGAAGTTGAGAAGCCGGCAAGGGCGAATGGTGAGGCCCATGACGAGCCGGCAACGTTGTAGAACAAGTAGGCGGGACACAAGACTGAGAGCAAAAGTAAATATACGACGAGGTTTGAGGATAAGCATCGAAAATATTTGAGCGAAGCTGCGTCAGGCATGGAATAAGGCCTTGTAACATTCTCTAATCTTGGACTGTATGCCATACCCAACATTTAATTAGTCATTCTCTGAATCCAATATATTTTCGAATAACAACAAGCGCCTATTAATTTTAAGTGAATGTTTCTATCCCCAATTTTGGTTAACCGACTTAGAGAGTTATCCTGTATATTCTCTCCCTCTCGACACAATAAGTGTATGCCCTAGTGTCAATCTAATATTAACATTAAGACAGAGCCCTCTTCATACTACTAGGTGTGACCAAAAAGTAAGCAAAGAATAGTAGTAAAAAAATGCAGAAATAATAATAGGAATAAGTTCCAGCCCCATCCCACTACGGCTTATAGTTACAAAAGAAGGAGAAGACGAAAAAATTACCAAAAGAAATGAAATATTGCTCGACGGCAGGATCCGAACCTACGTCTCACCTATCTACACCCATAGACGGTTTCCGTCTATGGATGACAAGGTGAATTATAACCACTAAACCACACCGGGTCGAGGATACTGGTATATTTAGAATTCCGATATCCTGACTACTTGTTAGGAGTGTTGAAAATATTAGCTAACGGTGAAAAGGTTATGAATGCGAACCAATATACAAGACGGCCGATCATTGAGGAGATATGTCACATTAATAGTTGTGGATGACCCTAGAATAAGGAGATATGGATACTTAACTATAACTATAACTACTATTGCCTGTGAGTGAGATTAGTGATATACCCACAATCAGGGCTCCAGGAAAAGCAAAAACTCCAGATCTAGCTTTACTAGAGAGCACATCACTCTGAACAGCTTCACCAAGCAGCAATGACATTTATTCTGCAACGCACGGCGTGCCCACCCATCTCAGGTACATTCTTCAGACAGCCCCATGCACTTTTATAGGAAATACGGCGTTATCACCACCGTCTGGCCCAGCTCGTTCCTGTGCCTCCCTAGCGGTACCGCAGAATTAGATAGGAGAAGGCTTGGCATGGTCTGCCTGGGTTAGCCTTCAGTATACATGAATTCTGTGAAGGAGATCAGTTATCTTTCTTGCTAGATTTGCAACCAATGGTAGCCGGATGCCGCGAGTTAGTCTTCATATACTGTGCTTTCATCTCTGGACCTCTAGTCAGGTAGCACATATTTTCGCCCTAGTCTAGTTACAAGACCATACAAATATATCTCTGAGTAAAGGCTGCTCTCTTTGCATATCTTTTAAGTAGATACTGTATCGCCGGATTCTTACTACTAATCCTGGAGTAGATACGAGCCTTCTTTACGATCGTTCTAACGAGTAGAGTATATATTAAAAGAGACACGACCCGGAACGATTACACTATTCGTAGAAGATCGAACCGTGGTATATTACTATTTATACATAGATAAGTGCATATTTTGGATCATGGGTTCTTACGGATTTCCTTTAAAACATTCTCCCACACCCCCGGCGCTCGGCTCCTTCTCGTGCTTGCGACATCCTCAGTAACATAAAATTTGAATCGTGGTTCCGCCAGAAACCCTAAAGCTTTCTTCCAGGCTGATCGCTGCGCATGCTCCCTCTGCAAGCTTGGAGACCTTATGCGCTCCAAGTTAGCCAGTCGACCCCAGCGACTGGGTAAGGCGCGCATCTCAGAGAGCCTCACGCCGGTGGTTTTTGGGAGCCCAAGCAAGCGTGCAGTGACAAATTCTAGCTGTGCATCTTTGGGAAGATTTGTGGAATAGCGTATCAGCACATCACGAGATCTGCGAGCGAACTCCGGGATATAGAGGCTGACGGAGTTGACGAAAGGCGCTGTGGCAACGCCCACGACGATCATAGGAATTGCGCCCATACAAATGACTACACGAGATGTAAGATTGGTGCCGAGAAGTGGTAAAGAAAGTTGAAGAAAGGTAAAGAGCAAGGGTTGAGAAAAAGGAATAATCGGGAAGGGCTGTTTACCTCCAACAGTTTTTAATACCGGCTGTGGCTCATTAGGAGCGTAATAAAACTGCGGAGCCAGAAATGCGCATGAGATACCGAATAGAAAAATAGTTGTGACTTTCCAGAAGGCAATGAAAGTCGTTTTTCCGGTGCCGGCATTATAAATGAGTAGGCGAGAGGGATACGCTGCAAAATGTCAACTTGTCTTCGAATAATAGACCTAGGGCCTGCTGACCTGATTTGGATGGTGTGTACTGTGTTCGAGACAGCGGCTGTTGTCGTCGAACCGGGGTTTGTGCGAAGGTATGGAGTCTGGATGCACTTCGAATGGGTATATTTGAGGCATATAGCACGGTGAATGGCTTCACCGAGCCTGTGGACAGCTTGGAGCATGACCTGGATATCGCGGAGACAGTACTTGATCGAATTATCATTTTATCGGGGTGGATGGACTGGCATGTAGTAGAAAGAAGCAACTAAGTGCTTGAGTTTTACGGCTGGACAGCTCGACGGGCGCTAAGCTCCAATCCTTCTCGTTCTAGGGGGCTCCGCCGTTATGCAGCGTGCACGTGAAGCCAAGACGACCGCCCGGCGGACCGACCATCGCATATTGCGACTGCTTTATTAGGCGTTCAGACCACATCGTCGTCTTACCCGCTACTCAACCCGCTACTCAAGCCACCTGCGCGCTCTCCACTCGAGCACGTACGGCCTCTTATTCCACGAACATGCCACGCTTTTTTATGCGATACTAACTATCATTGCTTACTGTACAATGCCAACGTTCCAGTCTCTCCTTGCCCTCCTGGGCCTTCTCCTTTCCCTCGTATCAGCATATGGTACTCTCTCGGACGATACCCTTGAACACCTACCCGGCCCCGGCGACGATTTTAACGTCCACCATGGCGCCTTGTTATCACCAATATTGCGTACGCGAGTCTCGGGTACGCCTGGGTCGACTGCCGTCCTGAATCATTTCGTCGATTTCTTCCGCACCCATCTCCCAAAATGGACTTTGGAGTTTCAGAACTCTTCATCCACGACTCCTCTCAGTAACGGCAAAGAAATCCCCTTCGTGAACTTAATTGCAACTCGCGACCCGCCTGGGACCCAAGTTGGAGAAGTCGGGAGACTGGCGCTGGTTGCTCATTATGATAGTAAAATCACCCCGGCAGGCTTCATCGGGGCGACAGATAGTGCGGCCCCGTGTGCGATGATGATGCATGCTGCGCGGAGCATTGATGATGCTCTAACTAAGAAATGGGAAGCTATGGCTGCGGACGGAACGGGGGAACTCGAGGAGCAAAAGGGAGTCCAGATAATATTCCTTGACGGGGAGGAGGCATTTCTGAGCTGGACAGATACGGATAGTCTTTATGGAGCACGGTGAGTACATCCAAGCTCCCTAATTGGTCCTGAGCTCTCTTCTAATTTCGTTTGCAGCGCTCTTGCAGAGTCTTGGGAGCATACCGTCCACCCCGCAATGTCGACTTACCGCACCCCACTCTCATCCATCTCCCTATTCCTTCTCCTCGACCTGCTCGGTTCCACCAACCCGACCGTTCCATCCTACTTTAAAACAACGCATTGGGCGTACAAAAGTATGGCTGCTTTAGAAACCCGCTTGCGTGATCTCGGGCAGTTCAAATCATCGCCCAATCATCCTTCTAAGCTGAAAGGACGCGAAGAGAAGCTGCGAAAGGAGCCTGTATTTCTTGTGGAAGCGGATAAGTCGGATAATAGGTTCCTAGGATTCATGGTACGGGACGATCACATCCCTTTCATGGCTAGGGGAGTTGAGATCTTGCATATTATCCCAACTCCATTCCCACGGGTATGGCACGAGATGGATGATGATGGTGATCACTTGGATTTGGATACAGTGGAAGATTGGGCGAAACTAGTTACAGCATTTGCCGGAGAGTGGATGGAGCTTGAGGGCTTTTTTGACGTAGCGAAGGTCGTGGAAAGAGAAGAGTGGAAAGATGATAAGGCCAATGATAAGAAGAGGAGGAGACCTACTAGTAAGACTGAGTTGTGAGTGTCCTTTGTGTGTGCTAGGCCGAACTTGGGTTGATTTTTGGCAGTGAAACACCCGAGGCCGAGATTTGAGTCACGATAATCAAGTCTTGCAAAACCACTCCCGAAATCGATGCTGCCAATATAATGGATTGTGATGAAAACTTCCGCCTCCTAACCGCATCGACAGCAGTGCCGGACTAGTGTTTTCGGATAACGAATGCACGCAACACAAGAATAGTAAAGCAGCGCTCATTTCAGTGAGCGTCGACCATAATTCCTCGCTTCGTGGATACAACTCTTCTAGCTGGCCTAGAATTCTATATCAGAAATCCCAACGACTCACCCATCCTATCAAGAAGTCGTGTGACTTTGAAAAAACGCGTTTTGCTGTTATGTTGCTCGGGAGATCATTGCTATTAGGAGCGTGGTCATATATGCATTGGCTAGAAAGCACGTTTTGGTAGGAATGGAAGTTCAAGGAAGACTGGGTGTTGCACCGTGAGGAATGCTGGGATCAGATAAGAAACAATTGGTCATGGCGATGAATTGATCGTCAAAAATTACATTCCTCGCTTCCGGGGATAGAGAGACTACCTCAAGCCCGCCTTTCTCCTCTAACTGACAATGAGCGGTACGACTACCACTCGTACAAATCCGTATCAAAGATTTGAATAATATCTCTCGTGAGCTTAAGTGTTCATTACGCGAACAAAGGGTTGTCGTAACCACCACTTCCGGTTGCGGTGTATAAGCCAGCCTCCTTTCATTGTCCAATTATACTCCACGTTTAAAGCGGAACTTGAAAGAGGAATATGCTAAATAGATACCAGTCATAAAAAGGATCATAAAATAGACACGGAAACTTTATCCTGTCCCAGTTTCACGATTTTCTTATTCGCTCGTCTGAGAATTACAACAAGTGACCAGTATATGATCGTTTCCGAATCAACCGCAGCTTACTGCCTATTCAATACAGTCACCAAGTCTCCACATGCCGCCAAAGAATTCCAATGGTGCCTCGAAGGGTAAGGGCAAGGCTAAGAAAGCGCCTGAAAACTCTAAAGGAGGTGACGTGCTTCCATCTGAGGGTGCGGCAGCAGGCCTCAAATCCAAGAGGCATCGTGTAGGCACTGCTCACCAGGTAAAAGAGGAAGACCGGACCGGAACGAAGTGGGATGCTGAAAGTTATGAGACGTTGAGAAGACAGTGCCGGGAACGTGGTCTTCTACATAAAAACTTGAAAAAGGCTCAATTAGCCAAACAGCTAGCTGAAGATGATTCCAGAAACAGCGCCGCGGCAGTGGCGAAAAGGCAACGAGACAGACAGCAAAGAATACAAGATGAAACTCAGAAGAGGAGGAAAGCATCAGAGAAATCGGGCAGGGCAGCTCTGCGGGAACAACGACGTGAGGGAGAGAACGAATCAGAGGAAGGCCACTTCGTTAGCTCATATGATGGAGGGATAGTAGGAGAGCTTGCCACGCCTAGCGACACAGCTATTACCACCGAGACAACCACCCGCAGTAGTTTGCAATCTTCGTATCACCCTAACATTCCGTAT